TTAGGTGGCCAATGAAAAAGATAACGATGAATTCGTAATACGAATAATTTATATGAGATCTCCGATATGAAAAAATGCAAACAATTAATAAAAAAACGCACCTTGCAACTTCCCGCCATTCTGGTGGATTTGCAGAGGTTGGGTCAGTGTAGAGCTCATCTAATTCGACGAAAGCTGGCGATTGGTGCGGCTCCTCTTCAGCATGCTGCTCGCCCAGCAAAAACATGACGTGTTGCTGATCAGTAACTTCTGAATCTCAATGAAAAAGACAGGAGAAGTAGGGGGAGAACTAATGCAGATCAAAGGTGCTGAATAAAAGTTAGGGGTCAGATGACTTCAATCACTATCGTAATTAAAAAGGGGGTGGAATCAGCAAAGCGACGATTGGCGCCTTACTTATCTCAGCCATCTTATTCTTCTGTTTCTTTTTGTGCTTTAGATTCTCTGATGTAAGCAAAAGATGACGCTGGTAAGTGATATACAAACCGATGGCAACGTAACGCAGTGAAACTTACGCGATTGACCAGCGGAATCATGGCCTTTCTTGGAGCGTTTGCCATGCTTGTGTTTATGATCCTGTTCACTAATGTCTTCAACACTTTTCTCAAGGGAATCGGCCATTACGACATCTACGTCCAAAGATTTAAAATTACTAGATGAAGTCAACACCCTAAGTATTCTCTTAGAAAGTATGGACAATTAGCACTGAAATAAAATGCACGAAAATTAGAATAAGGAGCTAAATCTAAAAACATACCCGAAGCAGTGATAGAAGGAGGTCGTTTAGTCTCAACGGGAGGGTTTGAGATTTCTGACATTGATTAGAGACAAGAGTGCACAAAACAACACCGACAGAAAGATAATGCGACAAACTACGCCGCTGGGAGGTGAGAAAAATCCACAATGCAATAGACTTAAATATCCGCGGAAAAGGCTATTTGCATTGAATTTAACAGATTCAACTAAACAAACGTATAGCAGTCTTGAAGTATCTATAAATCAGATTAACAAGGCCTAATAACTCCTAAATTTTTGGCTAACAGCTCTTAAAACAGACAAAGCATATCCATAAACGACATTATTGGACTTTCCCCATCAACTTGGACATTGCCTTTGAAATGATTAGTATTTCAATAAAATTCGCAACACTTATGTTTTGCTTAAAAACTATGCTGTTTCTAGCCATATACCTAGCGATTTGACACTTCCTACTCAATATATGAAGTCAGCAAATTCAGCAGGATACATGTATTCTGAAGACAACAGGACAAATGAACCTGGGCATGGCCTGAAGCCCACCCCACAAATACAAGTGCCAGACCAATCCCAAAACGTCATGTCGTCACATAAACAAAGCATTACACTGCTCCTCTCTTCTTTTGAGCGGCATCCTCAACGGTCCCCCTGCTACACCTCCCGCGCCAGCCGTCACAACATATTCGGGACCACATGAAAGCACCCACGAGCCAACAGCGCCAGTCGACAGACAACACGAGACTGAGAAACCGTACCTGGTCCTCTCGGCAACTTCAA